CAAAAGCTTCAGATGGTATAGTATGAAATTACTGTATTGCTTACAGGGCTGGGCAATTTTATAACAGCTACATTCGTGGCAAAGGCTTCCAGAGCCAAATCAAAATCCTTGTTGAGATCATGTTATCTGAAAAACTGCGTGCATTATGTTAGGTTCAGCTTGTAGCCCTAACATGATTATATGAATCTGTTTAGGGTTCACCAATACACTCTGTTAGAATAGCAGACCAAAATTATGTTTTTTTTTTACCGTATCCTTGTAGAATACCCTTCAACAAATATGTGTGTGGGAGTGTGTGTGCATGAATATGGTGTATACCTCCATACTTTTTAAACAGGCCTCAAAAACTGAATATTTCAGTGCACTTTTAATTTAAAGGTTGCCAACTTTTATTATGAATCAGACATTTTGCTATTGCATTTAATTATTAATACTACTATTTTAGTCAATAATATTTTGTACCATATCACTCAATTTCAATTTATAAAGTATGTTGAAGAGACTTCGCCACAAGAGATATCATACACCTACATTAAATAAAAAATAAATCCATAAATATGGTACTAAAATTCATTTATTATTTGTTCTACTCAGTTAAGCAATAATCATTGTGATGTCACAATTTCCTTCTGCCAAAATAGCAATTCTTCATGTAAGCTCATTCTGTTCCTCACAAGGACCTGCTTTCTTTCACTTCCTATTTTCTCAATACTGTTCAAACCAGAGATATACAAAATGACTTTCTAAATGTACACATAGATATATTTAACAAACATTGAATTGTAGATTACTTTGTATATACATTATACTTAAATACAGGCAAGGGGAACCTTTCTAAAAAAAATTTTTTATCACAGGACACCATTATAACTGTAACCACATTTCACCATCTAAACAAATATCTGTTAGAATAGATGGCAAAAAATATAGAATTTGGGGGATATTTGGACCCTCCAGAAACAAGGTTCTTCTATTTCTAGTTCTAGATGGGGTGATGCTACCCCAGACAGACTCGGTCTGCAATCTGGGGGATCTCCTAGACTTACAGCTCCTTGTTGAAGAGCAGATGCGAGCTGTGACTACTACTGGGCCTTGAGCCTTTTGGAACTGAGTCGCAGAAGTGGTGAGTGAGTGCATGTGTGCGCGCTCCATTTGTGTGAACGGTGAGTGCGCGTGCCCACCATTCTCACAAATGGAGCTGCACACGCATGCTTACCCACCACACACACAGAACCATCCCCTCCACCCCCCCTCCACCAGTCCGCAAAGTCGAAAAGGTTGGGGAACTCTCAGTTAGGAGACCCTTTGCACACTTTTGGGCAGTGCACCAGTTGTATCATTCCTGGCCGGGAGGCCCTGCTCATTATCACCCATGCCCTTGTAACTTAGATTACTGCAACTCTCTTTACATAGAGCTGCCCTTAAAGAGCATTCAGAAAATTCAACTGGTGCAAAATGTGGCTGCATGGGTAGTAAATAGTACCGGCTACATGGCACATGTAACACCACGATTAATAATGTGAGCTGCACTGGTTGCTTTTTTTTTTTTTTTTTGATTTATATGCCGCCCTTCTCCGGAGACTCAGGGCGGTTTACAATGCGTTAAACAATAGCCTTCATACTTTTGTATATTTATACAAAGTCAGTTTATTGCCCCCACAAACTGGGTCCTCATTTTACCTACCTTAGAAAGGATGGAAGGCTGAGTCAACCTTGAGCCTGGTGAGATTCGAATTTACAGTAATTGCAGACAGCTGGTGTTAATCACAATGCTTTTAGTCTGCTGAGCCACCAGGCTCTTATGTGTTTCCAAGCCCAGTTCAAAGTATTGGTTGTCACCTTTAAAGTTCTACAAGGCTTGGGATCTGAAGCCCATCGTTTTCCAAGAGTCTGTGCCCATTCAGTTTGATCCAGCTGATTGGGCACGCTGCAGCTCCCGTCAGCAAAAGTGTGTTGACTAATGCAAACTAGAAGACAGGTCTTCTGTGCTGTAGTCCCTGCCTTGTGGAATATTATCCTTGGGAGATTAAAATGGCATCAACCCTGTTGGCTTTTTGCAACGCTTTAAAACTTGACTACGTACCCAGGCTTGGAGCTCAGAATGTGTTAAGGGCCCTATTTCTTGGCTATATTGTTAGTTGATTAATTATCTTGCTGCTGTTTGAATTTATTTTAGCAATAGTAATAGCACTTAGACTTATATACAGCTTCATAGTACTTTACAGCCCTCTCTAAGCAGTTTACAGAGTCAGCATATCGCCCCCAACAATCTGGGTTCTCATTTTACCAACCTTGGAAGGATGGAAGGCTGAGTCAACCTTGAGCCTGGTGAGATTCGATCTGCCAAATTGCTGGCAGACGGTGATCAGCAGAAGTAGCCTGCAGTACTGCACTCTAACCATTGCGCCACCATGGCTCATTTTCCAGATGTTTTTATTTTTTAAAATGTTTTATAGTTTTAGAATTGTAAGCAACCCAGAGTGACTTGGTTGAGTTGTGCAGATATATAAATCAATAGATAAGTAAATAAATAAAATAAAGAACACATAGGCAAATGCGCTCTATATAGGGCTATCCTTGAAGAGTATTTGGAAACTACAGCTGGAGCAGAATGCCACCATGCCGACAGCTCTAATGGCTCCTAGGATGGCCCATGTAACACCACTGTTGTGTGAACTACACTGCTTGCCAGTCTGCTTCCAGATATAATTCAAGTTGTTGATTATGATCTTTAAAGCCCTTTTATCGCATGAGACCAGGATGAGAAATTTTCTCACCTCAATGGGATTGGCTCACACACCCCCCATTTCAGCAGAAGGAGCATGCTGAAGACCTCACTGGTCAAGGAATTCTAGCCTTTTCTGCTGTGACTTCCACCCTCTGGAACATCTCACTCTCACCTTCTTAGCCTTCCATAAGACCCTCAAAGCTTGGCTCTATTGATCGGCTTGGGGCCCCAATGGGGGTGTTCCATGCTGGAGGTGGTTAATGGATTAAGAGAAAAATTCCACCTCAACTCAGCAGTATTTTAGGTTTTTTTACTTATTTAATATCCATTCATTTTAATATTTAATGTTTTAATATTTTGTCCTTTGTTTTTATATTTGTAAGCTACCCAGAGTCGCCTTCACAGTGAAATGAGCAGCATATAAATTCTTCATAAATTAAAACTGATGAAATTTCTTAAAATATTTTGATGTTTCAAATTTTCACGTTTAAAATCTTAGTAGCATATTAAAATAGTATGTTAGTGCTTAAGTACTTAAGTACTAAAGACTTTTACTTTTAAGTAAAGTCCTTTATCATACTAGACAAGCTGCTTTTTCAGATCTTAATATTAAGTATTTTAGTTTCCATGTGCTTCTATGTTTCATTTTCTATTTCAAGAATGGCACTTTAGTTTCCTTAAAGTGTTTTTGGGAATCTATAATTTTAGCGGTAAGTCCCTATAATTAAACCAGTTAAGTGACACAATAAATGCTATACGTTCATTCTATAACTGTGGGTTATCGGACGTAGAACAGATGATCCCAATCTTTAGAGCATTGTTTCTCAACCTTGGAAACTTGAAGAGGGGTGGATTTCAACTCCCAGAATCCCCCAGCCAGCGCTGCTGGCTGGGGGATTCTGGGAGTTGAAGTCCACCCATCTTCAAGCTACCAAGGTTGAAAAACACTGCTTTAGAGCATGTTAAGCATGCTCTCTCTCTATGCTAGAATTTCATTTTCATACAAGGTTTTTAAATGTTGGCATCACTTAATTCATAACCTTTTACCGACTGATTTATATCCCATCCCTCCCGTAGGAATCTCCTACTGTACTTGCGAACTTAAGTATCTACAGTAACCAAAGCATTTTAAAGTTTTGTCTTGGATCTTCTCTCACCCAGCGAATCCTATTGGCTCTAGCACCCATCAAGCAATGGGAACCTAGTATTTAAATTAGCCGAATCCAACCTATTGTAACCGAGATCGGTTTGTAAAGTCGCAGTCTTTCTCTCTCTGTCTCTTCCTCCCTCCCTCTCTCTCTCTCTGTGTGCAAGGGCGGAGTATTTTGAGCGAAAACTATTGCACATAAAGTACAGCCTCGGCCGCAAAACGTTGCGACTCCGAGTCAGGCCTTCCTAGAATGCGTTCGTACCCCGGATCGGTTTTGGGAAGGAGAGTCGGCTGAAACCTCGGTGCTGTCACTGCGTTCCCCCCACCCCCAATTTTTCCGCCGGACTATCGCTACGCCAATATTCCGGTTAGAGGGTGCGGGATTCCAGATAACTCGGGTGCGACTTGCCTGCAGACAATTTGGGCGTGACTTCCAAATGCCGGAGAGCAGAGCTTCCACCGTGGCTTTCTCTTTCGAAACCTGGAGGCTAAACATTAATCATCGACCCGCCCGGAGAAGAAAAGAGCCGAGGGACCCCGAGGCAGTTTCGGTGCCGTCGCCGTCCCTTCCCCCGTCAAGGAAAAGGCGCCTCTTACCCGCCACGTTTAACCGACCGCCTAAGAACCAGCGGATCCGGCCCTGCGCGAAATCCCACTCGCAGTCGGTGTGGTGCGGGGTGTCCCATTGCAGCGTCTCCCGTGCCAGAGCCCCCCAGAAAGGGCCGGGCTCCCGGGCTGCCCGCTCGCACAGCTGCCAGTAGTTTCCCTTCAGGGAGGAAGCGCGCGGTTCACTTCGCCCCCCGCGATCGCTTCTGCTACGGTGGGCAAAAGAGAGGGGTGCCCAGGGGGTCCTTATGCAGCTGTGCCTCCAGAGCTGCTGCTGCCTTCCTACGGCGCTCCGCAGGTGGCTCAAGGCGGCGATTGCCATGGGCGCTTGGCTCCACCACCAAAGACCGGAGAGGGAGGGAGCCGAGGGCGGTTAGCCCGCCGAATGCCGCCGCAGCCGCCTGACCGGTGAAGAGTCTCAGGGGGAACGGCCCGAGCCCCAGGGAGGCGCCAGGCAGCTGTGCCAAGGGGGCCCTTGCGCGCCGCCTCTGCTCCGCATTACGCCTTTTCCTCCCCTTCTCTCCTCCCCCGGTGTCCGCCCGCGTTTGGAGGAGTTCCTCGCAGAAATCTCCAACTTTTGACAACGAGGAAGAAACTTCTAAGAAGCTGACCGAACGTTGGTGCCGCTGAGGTTCAGGGCAGCGTGAAGCTTCCTAACCCCGTAGGAGGACGATCCCCATCCCTCCCAGATAACTTGGAAATGCCAGTTAAGGTGACTCGAGGCTGACATATCCATTGAGGAAGTCGAAGAGCATTAAATTGTGGTGCCAAGCGCGCGCGCGCGGTTGAGGTTTATAGAGGACCTAAAGAGCCACGCGGTGTGGGAATCGTGGGTTGGGGCAGCAGCTACCTCGGGGAAAAAAAAACCCCTTCCTCTTGCCCAGAATATTAGAAAATTACCGTGGACAATTTTCCAGTTTAACTAGCTAAAATATAAACTAATTAAAGAAAAACACAACTGGCAAAAACGTGATCAAAAGGTTGGGAGGGTGGGAGAGAGAACCCTGAAGATACAAGAATTTACATTATCTAAATCCATCTATATATCCAAAGAATGTAAAACTTCCTAGAATATTTAGACACAATGCTGAGGGTAATAAGCATAGACAGTCCCAAAGGGAGTGATATTTAGTTACCCCCCTATGTATATAAAGGCAGAATAAAATAGAAAGTAGGATACCAGGTGATTCTTCTGTTCTGCCTCATGAAGGAAACAATCTGATGAATCCAGATAGAGTATCCAATTTCACCTCATCAGTGCAGTACAGTCGTGGTTTTCACTTACCTTCGCTACCAGTTCAGAACTGTGAGTGTGCACGTTTCTGAACCGGGGCGAACTGGTAGAAACCCACCACTGGTGCAGTGCCCCAAACTGTGTATCAGAATGGGTAGTACCACTGTTATTCACAACCCTAGTCCCTGTTTTTTTTCAGCCTGAGGAAGCAATCCCTGGACAAGGGACTTTACAAGGCATATGCCAGCATATTATCAGACCAGCATCCCCCAGTCTTCTGGGCACCAGGGACTGGTTCCGTGGAGAGAGGTTTTTCCACAGACCAGAGGGGGCGTGGTTTCATGTGCTGCCTGCATCCCATGGATGGGGCTTCACTTGTTTGCACTTGTTTCTGACATGCTGTGGTACCAGTCCATGGATCGCGGGTTGGGGACTTCTGAGTTAGACAATACTTCTGTTTTCCCCTTTTCTTGCATGTCCTTCCCCTAGTGTAAGTTAATATCTGTGTATTTCAAATTGGGTCTGAACTGCTTTATGTTTACAATTCTAATCACCTCGTGATTCACCTCACATACTCTGGTTCAAGTTGGTTGTTCCACATGTACTTGTTCCACAGAACAGTACAGATAGTCTTTACTGACTGACTACTTCATTCAGTAACTGTTTGAAGTTAGAACAGCACTGAAGTAGTCGATTTATAACCAGTACTCGGCTTGCAGCCATCATAACATCCCTATGGTAATGTGATCACGATTTAGGCACTTCAAAATGGGGCACATTCATTCATTCATTCATTCATTCATTTATTTATTTATTTATTTATTTATTTATTATATTTCTATACCGCCTTTCTCCCGTAGGACTCAAGGCAGTGTACAGTCAAGAAAAATATAGACACACAAACATCATAAAATTGCTAATTAAAATTATTACTTAGTTTGGTCAATTAAATAAAACCCAGAATTAGATAACATTTAATGATGGTTTTAGCATCCCGTGGTCATTAGATAGCTATTTGCAATCTTCACAGACAGCTTCCAACAAGCAAAATCAATAGCAGTAATAGCACTTAGACTTATACATCACTCCACAGTGCTTTATAGCCCTCTCTGTACAATTTACAAAGTCAGCATATTGCCCCCAACAATCTGGATCCTTTTTTTACTGACTTCAGAAGGATGGAAGACTGAGTCAACCTTGAGCCCGTCAGGATGAAACTCCAGATTATGGGCAGAATTAGCCTGCAATACTGCATTCTAACCACTGCACCACCAGTGGTTAGATGTCAGTGAGGAAGCTGGCAGGAAGCTGTCACGTGTTATTGTACTTAGCAACCTACAGTGATTCACTTTTCGAGTGCAACGGAATTAATGTCCTGAATCCAATGTAATCATGTCATATTTACATACTGTACACTAACATTAACAACCATGTTGCTTAGCAACAGTTGCTTGTCCCAATTGTGGTCAGTAAGTAAAGATCACCTGTATTCCACCTTTGTAAATGACAGGATTAAAGTGCTTTGTTTCTTGTTGTAGTAGGCAAAGGGTATGTTCCCATTAAAGAATATATATCTAATGATAGATATCCTGTCAGATTTATCTCCAGCCCAATCAGAATATCTACATCCAATACATTTTGCTTATTGGTAGTTATAGGTTGTTTTAAATTAAAGTCCATAGCTGCTTTTAAGTATGCTTAAACTTTTTACTGCTGTCCAGTCTGCCCCTTCTGGCTAGCAGTCCTATTTCATTGAATCTTGATACTTGCATATTTAATACTGGTCCAAAAATGTCGTAATCCTCACCATATTTTTAGTGTAGACCTTTGCTACTAACTTAGCTTTATGAAATTCTATACAATGCATCTTTGAACATTGTGCTTTGTTTTGAAAAACACTTCCAGGCTCCCCCCCCTTGCTTGGGTAATTTCACTAAAATCCATGTTTTATTTTTATGTAAGGATTCAATTTCTTCCTATGCAATTTCTATCCACTTCTGTGCCTCAGTTGTTACTAGTCCTTGTACTTATTTCCATGAATTAGAATCAGGCACTTCCTATAGTACACTAGTGTAAACCAGTCTTATATATATATCAGACACATCTTTGAGATATTCTTAATTCTGATTCTCTGTGTTAGCAGACTTCTGAATCTGATGTTATTCCTCCCTTCACAGAGATCTGGGATTGTCAGACATTGTTGTTTAATCATTTCTCAAACCCATTTTCGGTAATCTGCAATGTCATTATTGTTGTTGTAAAACTAGGCCGGTTTGCACTAGTATGTAAATATTGCAGCTTATTTTGCATTATCCTTTCTTCTCATAAAAAGGAGCAGCACTGCATATGTTTACTTTTCCAGTTTTTAATCTTATAGCCTTTTATTCCTATTTATTAACTAGGCATTCTTCCTATTTGAGATCAACAGTTTAGTTTTTCCTTCTTTTTCCTCAAAGATTGTCTCACAGTCTTGCATCAAGCAAGAGGTATTTCATCATAATTAGCAAGCTTTGATTTATTTATTTTTTTGCAACCCCGTTTTGCTCAGGGCTGAAACATATTTTTTTATGTTTTATGTCTTTATTGTTCGAGTATTTTTCAAACTCCTGGTTGCAATATTCTTCCCTGTTATCATACTATAATTATTATTTTTTATTCAACTTATTTTCTACATGACACAGAACGATTTGAATTTCTCAAATACTTCACTCTTACTGATTAAGAGATAAGTGCAAATATACTTCGAATGACAGTCTATGAATGTTATAAAGTAGTTTTTCCTGTCCTTTGTTTTTTGTGTCAAGGGACCACAAATATTTTCACCACAAATGTGAAAACACCAGTTCAAATGCCTGGCTTGATTCTTTGAATTCTAGCACAGAAACATTATTTTTTTTTTAGTTTTTGCTTTTAAATAACTTCATATTTTAATTCTCTTTGTTTCTTGCAAGGTTTAACATTAAATCCATTTATTAAGTCTTTGTCTTTTATTTTCTTAATTACAGAGTAATCTCTGTGACCAAATCTTCAAATTTTGGATATGGAGGAACCATTTCCCACTCAATCCTACCAAGACTGAACCCAGTCAGATCTGAGAATATTCCTTCTTTGACCTTGGATGGGGTAGCTTTATACTCTTCAAGGTAGCTAAACAGTCTTCAGGTCTTCCTGGACTTACAATTACTGCTAAAAGAGCAGTTATCGGGCTGCTGACCTGTGGCCATGAAGGCCTTTACATAACTCCATCTGATGCACCAATTGCACTCTTTCCCAATTCAGAGGATGTTTCAGACAATCATCGCGCCTTATTGCCTTGTGGCTTGATTACTGTACACAGTTTACATGGGTGTGCCCTTGAAGACCTGGAAGCTTCATGTGGTCCTGAATGCAACAATGTGAACAGCAGTGGACATGACTTGCTATGCCCATGTGACACTTCTGTTCCAAGAGCTGTACTGGTTGTTGGTTCATCATATTTGCCATCTTTTATCCTTATACTTGTACAGTATGTTTAATTGATTTTAGTGTAATATTTTTGTTGTGGGCCGTTCAAAGTCATTCAACTACAATTGGTAACACACTGCTAGATTGGATCTGGCATTTTTGTTCTCTTACGAAGTCTTTCCTAAGCACCTGGGATTGTCAGAAGGTGTTGTTTAATAATATTTAAAATATTGTTGCAGGACATGAACTGTTCCAAGTGAAGCTGCCTTTTGCAATTGACTGATGATGATGTTGTCAATGCCAATGATGTTCAAATGGTGTTCCAAAAGTTTTGGAATTGCACTCAAGGTGGCTATTACAATTGGTATTATTTTTGTCTCGTTTTGCCATAGTTCTATTTGCAGATCTTTATATTTTGTTGATTTCTCCAAATCTTTCTCTATTTTTTTTTTGTTGTCTCTATGTATTGCAATGTTTACTATTTAATTAACAATTGGATAGATAGTAATTGGTAATTGTTAATCTTGTGCATTGTGTGGCAGACACTTGTCTTCTCAATTCTGGCTTTGTATGCATTTTTCTTAAGATGTGGTCTTGTGCAGCCAGAATTGGCCTGTTTCTTTCTTCAACTTTCCTGTTCCATTGCCAGATCTTCTTGTTATCTGCTTGGCCTGCTTTTTTTTTTTTTTTTAATGTACTGGCCATGTTATCTTTTGCCTTGCCAAGTCTCATTTTGTCTTTCTTGGAGGCCTGTTGGGTCTCTCCAGTAATCAGTAAGCCTTCATGGTGTACTAACTTCAGTGCATTTTTTTCACAGTCCTTGAGATAGTCTTCCAATGCCCTTTTTTCTTTTTAGACTGTCTTGTGTATTTACAACCTTCCACACCCACTTATTTTCCTTGGTAAGTATTGTCTGTCAACATTGCTGCATGTATAAAGAGTATGATTCATCGTCACTGTTTTTCTGATCTTCCTATCCAAGGCTATTCATTCTCTTTGAGTCCACTCCACTGTTGCTCAGATGGAAATTTTGTCAATGCAAAGATTTTCTAATTGCCGTTTAAGATTTTTTAGTATGACACTCAGGGTTGCTATTGTAGCACATTTCTCTAGGCCAAATTCCATTGCTATATTTGTGCTAAATTTCTTACAATGTTTGTCAAGATTTGTTTTCTTTGATAGCCAAGTTTTGTTTTCTTAAATCATTGAAATTGCCAACATATTATTATTACAGGGCCTAGCTTCTTAAATTTGGCTCAGAAATGCATTCATTATCACAAAATGGGTATTAAATGATTTTGTCTACGAAGAAAAATAAGTGGGTTACATTGAGAGACAATTGAAATGTTCAAATCTCTCTGAAAGTATCCCATGAATACTATCATCTTCTTCCCTTAGCAATAAAGGTGAAAACTAGTAGCAGTCAAAAATAACTGGATAGTGCCCTCGTCTGTTCATTACATGTGTGACATATTTTAGAAGCACTATTATTTTATGGGTTTCATGCAAAACACTAGACTAAAATGTTGTTAGCTAGTTTATGGCTCAATATGTTAAATAATCCCAGCTACCGTCTGGTTTTGTGTGAATTCAAGCAATGTGGTTAATTCTGTTAGCCACTTTGACTCTTATTGATAAGTAGACACAATTATGCAGTTTTCTTGGTAATGGTACATAATATTCTTCCAGATTATTTTAGTTTCGAAGCCTTAAAAGGCTGATATTCCTTGGTGATTTCTGTAAAATAGCTGGGGGGGTGGGAGTTTCTCCCATAGAAAAGTGGCTGTTCTCTGTAGCTTCAGTGCAGTCTGGTAAAAGATGCATTTGTTTTAAGGAATCTCATAATTCAGCTACTGTACATGAACATCTCCACATGCATCTTTTGGTCTTCAAATTTGAAAAGCTGAACAACCTTACTATCAATTAAGCCCTTGTGCAATTCTTTTTTGCTTACTTTTTTAAAAAAGTGTCATGCACAGATCAGATCATTCATAGGCCCTTACAAACTTTAAAATTGAACTAATTAAAATAGAAGTAGCTTGTACTGACATAAATATATTATATTAGATTACAGAAGTTTCTGTAGGTTTGGTTTCATTTTTAATGTCTGTTTTAATATTTTATAGTGATTAATAATTGAAAACTGACTAATATTGAATGGTAAAGTGAAATGGAAACAAGCAACTGTTAAGTCTGTTTAGAAGAGAGAGAAAAAGAATTGTTAAAAATAATCACAAGGTACTGTTTGACCGTTGAAATCATCCTCTGTTTCACTTGGTTACCAGATGAATTCTGGAAACTAAAAGAATACAGCTCACAAAATGGAATGTAAAATTTATTGTTAGCACCTATCAAAAACTTGTGTTACATTGTACATGGAGTACATTGAAAATATATTTTGAAATGCAGTTCTTTATATATTTTATGAAACAAATCTCAAGGCATTTTTGCTATGTTCCTGTATGTATTTATTGTGAATTTTTAGGAAACCAGTTGTTTATTCATAAGTATTTAAAATGTTTTCAGTAATAAGTAGTTATTACAGATTTTTTAATCCATGGACATCAGCTCATATGTTTGGAGTTTGTTGCCCACAGAAGCAGCATTCAGCAAGAATATGAGTATTGCTATGCTGTATACCAGTGTTGGTGAACCTTTTTTCCCTTGGGTGCCGAAAGCATGCACGCACGCATGCGTGCACCCATAATGCAATGCCCACCTGCAGGCCCCGTGCATGCGTGTGGGACCCTCCCCCGCTCCCCGTGTATGTGCACGCAATACCCATTTTGGTGCTAGCAGGCCTCCCTGAAGTCGCCTGGAACCAAAAACAGGGCGCGCGGGGGGGTGCCGCACCCCCCCATGCCCTCTTTTGGTGCTAGCAGGCCTCCCTGAAGCCTCCTGGAACCAAAAATTAGGTGCACGGGAGGTACCGCACCCCCATCCCCGCACATGCATGCGTGACCCACCCCACCCCCCTGTGCATGTGTGTGTGTCTTCCAGCAGAGACCCGAAAACCAGCTGGCCAGTGGGGGGCCAGCAGGCATGCGCGGTGGAGCTGACCTGGGCATCGGCTCATGTGCCCTCAGAGATGGCTCCACGTGCCACCTGTGGCACGCGTGCCATAGGTTCGCCATCACGGCTGTATACTCTACTGATTTGAATAGACAAGCATCTGTGTTTCACAAGAAAGACTGTATTATTAATAAAATAAAATAAACCTTGAGTACAACTGGCGGAGTGAATCAGATCAAGCATGGATGAAAGCCCATTAAAGCATTATTCCCTAATGGAGGAGTTAACAAAGAAGGCTTGGCTTTCTGTCTCCATTGTGTCGGTATTGAGTATGTTTTTTTTCACACTGTGAGGAACCTCCTCTTCATATGGCACCTGCTGTGTGACAGGAAACGTGGGATAGAGCAGTCAGAGGCTCACTCTGAGCATTGTGTCACTCCTTATGAATAAATTGGATCCGTCTTATTTTATATTCTAAAACTGGGGAAAAGACAAATTGAGATAATTGAAACGACCATTTGTCATTTGATGCTTTGAATTATTTTTAGCTTGGGAATCCTCAGATGAAGCCACCTCCCCTTTACTCAGTTTTTGCCCTTTCTAGTTAAATCCCCGCCCTGATAAAGGGAATTCACATTTCCTTGAAGGAGCAGTTATGTTCTAATCTGTTAAAACCATTGTTAAATAAGTCAGCTGGTCCCAAATATACAATTTAACTTTAAGGAGATCAAGAAAGAAATAGTAACTGCAGGAACAGCTGCTAGAGGATACCAATTAACTGCATCCATTTTAATCAACTCTTTAGGGCGGTCATTTGATTGATTCATTATTATTATTATTATTAGTGGATGACTTAAACCCCTGGAGCAGAGACCATCTCCAGCATCATTAAGCCACTGAGCCACCGTGCCTCTTCACTGATTGATTGATTGATTATTGGAATTGTTTCATCTTTAGATCATGGTAATCATGCCTATCAGCTATTTACATGAATAAAATATTCATGGGCCAATAGTATACTAAAAATATGAAACTTAAGTATTCTCCGAGTCTTCTCAGGCACATAAAAATAGCAACTTCTACATACCATTCAAAAGAGACAATCAAAAAGCCAAAGCAAAACAAAAAGACCAAAACACTTCCTTACTAAGAACAGGTGAACAGGAATTAACATCAAGATTAACATCAGACAACAAGTATATCAGACATCAAGAAGTAAACAATGCCCCAATCAAGGAACTACTAAGACAAGCAAGCTAACAATAAATAACAGACTAATTCAGGAACATCAAGGCCAGTCCTACCAATATTGAGAGGGCAAGACAAGCCATTTGTATATAAAATGAGAACAAACCCCGCTCCCTTCTACCAGCAGCAGTGATGGTGTTACCTAGTTTGGTAATGAAATGTCTGCAAGAAAACAACCTCAGAGAGCACCAAGACTCACTACATGAGTCTTATTTAGTTACCTTGGTGGATAACCTATGGCAAGAATTGAATGGAAGGAGAGTAACCATATATGTTTTTTTAGGCCACTTAATGATGTTTAATTCATAGGTTCAAAACCTGTTGGATCAATTCGGGAACTCCTAACTGGCTAAGTATAGATCTTGAGAATATTGTTCAGGAGTAATGCTGCCCGTCCTGTTGAATCATGTCCAGAAGGTGGTGCTGGGGTACTATTGTTCTGCAGTGAATTCTTTGGCTGTAGTAAGACATAGAAATACTATCTTATCCTTTTGTTTTTTAGTAACTTTGGGTGTCCAGTCTAAGTCTGCTGCTGAAATCTTCCAGTCATACAGCAAGAACAACACAGAATAATAAGTGAACTATCCAGGACAAATCAAGCAAAATACAGGAATCAAGATAAAACTATTTGTAGCCCAGGGTTGAACTGTGGGTTTCTTGGTGCTCTCTGAATTTGATGGTTTTCTTGCAAATGTTTCATTACCAAACTAGGTAAGATCAGCAGTGCTAGTGATGTTAGTGAGAATGTTACTTAGTTTGATAAGAAAAAGCCTGCAAGAAAACCACCAAGCTCAGAGAGCACCAAGGAACCCAAAGATTGTTGACCTGACATTTGGTCAAAATATGAACACTAGATGGCACTAAAGAGTTGGAATTTTGTATCTTTTGGGTGTCATCCAGAGGTTATCTGATTTTGCAGCCAAGAAGCAGCCAGAGAGCATTTTTAAAAGTTGTACTTCAAGATAGGGGTGTTGCTGAGTGTAGGCTAGCAGGTTGAGTTACCCTCAAATGCAGCAAATAAAACTGCTGCAAAAGCCAAGATTTGCAGCCAAAGTAAAGGTAGAAGAAGGCTGTATCGCCCAAATGCCAACTGGTATTCTTGCATTGGGGTGCTTGTGTGCAGCATTCACCTATTGGGTGCTTTGGATTGTACAGTTTCTTGGCAGAAGTATAACTCATTTTAGTTGACCCAATCATAACAAAGGCAAAAAAAATGAGAACCACAAAAAAGTGTCTGCAAAAATATATATATTCAGTTATATAACAGTTCACTCTCTCTTATAACTGAATTCTTATTGTAGAAAGCATAGAGGCAAATGACTGGACAGAAGGAATTATTGTCACAAAATAACCACACCAAGAACTGAGTGGATCATTAACTCCAACATCTCAAGCTTCCCTTCTTCGCCACCCTCCTAGATTACTTGCATACAATGCCTTGTGTGGTTGTTTTGTGGGAAATATATTGTTTCCATACTAAAACACCTCTAGCCCTCTTCAGGCTGCCTTAGCAGTGGGGTGAAAATAAGTAGCACAATCACAAGAACTACTTTGGCAAATGGTAAGTGGAACATCTTGGTAAAGAGGCTGTTTCGATGCGTTCAATTCAGCCATGATGAATAAGGGTGAACAGACTGAAATTAAGTCCAGACAAGAGACAATTGCTGTACACTCATTAGGAAATCAAATTATGAATATGCAATTCAGCTTATTTGAAATGGGGCTCTATTTTGCTCTTAGGAAAGCAAGGCACAGTCTGGCTGCACTCCTTAACTCCAGCTGTCTCTCGGCTGTCTGGATGGCTGAAATGCCAGTAGGGCAACTGCTTAACTAAATTTTGTGCTCCAGCTGTGATCATTCCTAAGCAGACCAGAAGTGGCTACAGTTATAAATATCTTACCTTCATCAGTTATTCTACCTGTATTACCTGTAATTCATGCCCTGCTTCCTTTGAGAAGGGTCAAAAGCTTCAGTTGATGCAAAATGCAACATCTAGGCTGCCAACTAATATGCAGTACTAGGATCATATTCTGTATGCTAATCCCGCACTTATGATCAATTATTTTCTCTGGTTGAAGATGTGGGTTTTAACTTGAAATCAAACAGCTTTAGTTCTATCTAAGGAATTCCTTATTTCAGTAGAAAACTTGTCTGGGTATTGAGACTGGCAGGA